TAGATATTGGAAAACCCTGTTTTGACGTATTACTGCCAGTTCTGCTAGTACATTGTGTTTGTAAGCCTGTGCTCAGCAAAGTCGTAAGTTTTGGCTGTATACTTGTACATTTCACAAAAACATTGAGCCCTCGGTTTTCTATCTATTGCAAACTATATGTACTCAGATTGATACATGTATGTCCTCCAGTATAGTATTATGTAACTACGTGTTTTTAATGTACATGTACATGTATTGTGATTTATCTTATTAGAGCCTGATCAATTACCACCTTTTCATGTGACGTGTAATTTCACAACCTGATACCACATGTTTTGCTTTGATTTGGTTAATTCCAGATTAAACCTAGTTACATTCCACAAGGTGACAATGTGGGAAGTGTCAATGACCCAGCCTCTGTGAAAGCGTAGGTTGATCCTGGCAGACGGGACAGCAGAAAGCTTTACAAATACAATTGTCATTATGGTGACAGTTGTCATAATTGTCTAAAGGACGCTCCTACACTATCATGATGTCATGTCCTGATAATGTCATCACACGATTTATTTTTAATTTTGAATACTTAAACTTCCCCCACAGGTTTTTCAACAGCCAGACTTTGGCACCGTTACCAATCTGACTGTTGACATCATATTAGTGCTCTTTTTTTAGTACACCAGGTAGAGAGGGTCCCAGACCAATATCGTCATAATGGCGACATTGCATTTCAGGTACGAACTTCAAAGACCTATATCTTCTGAAACACCTATCCCACAATGGGTTGAATTTTTTCAGATATCTAGAAAGGAAAATGTTGTAGACAAAAAATGACATAACGTGATGATGACGTCATCATTCGACAAGTCACGTGACATTAAAGGTGCACTCTTTACAACACCTTAATTATCTCTTGATGTGTTTGATTGGGCTGAAACTTTGTGTGTAGCTGGAAAGCGAAGGGTTTTAGACTCTGACCGGATGTGATGATAACGTCATCAGGTGACTGGTCACGTGACATGAAAGGTACAATCTTCACAGCACTGTATCCCGTGAAGTACGAGTCCGATTGGGTTGAAACTTGGAAGATGGCTTGAAAGGGAAGTGCCTCAGACAAAAATTGACATCATGGAATGATGACGTCATCAGGTGGCAAATCACGTGACATTAAAGGTGCACTTTTTAAACATTATACCTTCTGAAGGACAAGTCCGATTGAGTTGAAACCTGGCAGTAGGCTAGAAAGGGAAGTACATGTATTACAAACGAATATAGACCTGACGGGACGATGACGTCATCAGGTGACAAGTCACGTTACATCAAGAATGCATTTTTTTCAAAAAGCCCTATACTTCCTTAAGTGCATATCCTGTAGGGTTGAAACTTTGCCGATAACTACAAAGGGAAGGGTTGGAGATGAAAATTGAAATTATCTCATGATCGTATCTTCAGATGGGGCCATTAAAATAATTTAGTTAAATGATTTTGTCAAAACCTCACAGGTATAAGCAGCTCCGTGGTTATCCTCTAGTTTTCATTTTTTTTAAAAACCGTAATTGGATATACATCACGTACCTGGCCCTGGACCCTGGGCCGCTATAGGAGCTATTATATACTGCATATCTCCCTTTGGGAGAAAGGCTGTTTGGGTAAATTAGCGACGCGTAAAGGCCGGTCGTTTCGGAGCAGCGATATAACTGTCACATCGGAAATATCGGTCAAAGGCTAATTGAAATCTTCTCTCCTCGTAATTCTTGAATGTGGGCGTCATGTAACGTTGCGTTCCCTGAGATGCCGGCTAGGTTAATACATCTAGTCTAGTGATTCTGTAAACTTCATTCCCTGAGATTTCCCCCAAATTATCAAGCTGCCTGCGTGCATGTTAATTAATTGAATGTGTAGAATCAGAGAGAACCACTTACAGCATCTTCCACTGTAGTTTTATACCTGACTATCCAAATGAAGCTCGGAATACTTTCGTTCTTTGGAAAAATAAGTATCTTATGACTTTCTCGTTGTCAGGTGATTCTGTCACTTCGCTGACCATTGACATGTACTAAAGACATCATATTTAGGGGGGAAAGTGTTATTGAATGTGGCAAGTTCTTTCATTTAATTGCTAATGATATTTCCTTGCAGATGACGTCAGCTGGGCAGCCTCAATTGTTTAATTTGTTCATTTCCTCGAGGATACCGGGAAGGGATGTTTTGAGTTGGGGCCGCCAAAGAATTGTGCAATTGTGCAATGCAGGGTGTTCAGCTGTCAGATGATGACATTGATCAAAACAGTTCCGGGACTGGCCTTTGGCATCGTATTCCAGATGGTGGCATGGTGAAACCATCAGTACTCGTTCATTACTTTCATTTTTGATTTATTTCCCAAGGATTCGATTCGGACGCCAACAGCCCAAGTTTAACCTCATATCCAGGAGTTGAGAACCAAACAGATTTACAGTCAAACGTACTCTATACGGCATTTGACCAAGCTTTGAGGACGGAATGTGGGACATTTAACGGAAATTCTTCTGAAAAAAATCTCAATTAAATAATTTAATTATTAAAATAATAAAATAATTTTAAATAATATTTAAAATAATATTGCGTTTTGTGAACGCGAGAACGGTGTTTCAAATGCCAACAACCAAGATGCGATTAAAGCTGCGATCGGATTAGATTTTCATACCCTACTTACTAGAGTGAGTCTGGCGAACGTCAGAGGCTGACTATTGCATATGCCGCAACTTTCCTTAACCCTATTGTGAAATTTCACTGAAAGCACTCATTTATACTATGCACTATGATGCTGGAGCAGCAATCATAACAAATATGGCTATGGGCCAACCTGATCAAAGATAAAACTTGCCTTTGCAGAAGTTTTACATGTAGCTGATTCGTGTTTTAAATTATCGTAAGAGCAATACTCTCCTAACTTTTTATCTGGTGACTGCCATCTTGAACTTTTTTTTACTAGCTGCACTCAAATTGTAGTTACGCTTTCGTTATATCGGCAGTTGGACAACATTGCTCGCGAGTCAATCGAGAACAGCTTTAGTTTTTGAATTCCTCACAAGCCACTACCTTTCGTGCCACCTACCATCGCTGCCCAGGAGACGCCCTCCAGATTACTCGATTCCCTGATGAGGGTAAACTGTGATCTAACCTGTCTGGCCGTTGACAGTGTTTGTCTTTGCCCGCTGGCATCCAAGCTCCCAACTGACTTCGGCAGGGCTGGGAATTGAACGCTGCGCATTTAGCAGGGGAGAGAACATCGGCTTAACCATTCCAAGGGCACTCCCGGTCCGTGGTGTGTTTACGTAAGCCTTCCACAGGAACTTTCCGCCGCAACTGAGAATACGGGAAACGACCCAAGCCTCGGGGCTGATCCCATAAAGCCAAACGGGGAGAAAAATGCAGATCCACGACCCAAGCCTCGGGGCTGATCCCATAAAGCCAAACGGGGAGAAAAATGCAGATCTAACCTGTCTAGCCGTTGACAGTGTTTGTCTTTGCCCGCTGGCATCCAAGCTCCCAACTGACTTCGGCAGGGCTGGGAATTGAACGCTGCGCATTTAGCAGGGGAGAGAACATCGGCTTAACCATTCCAAGGGCACTCCCGGTCCGTAGTGTGTTTACGTAAGCCTTCCACAGGAACTTTCCGCCGCAACTGAGAATACGGGAAACGACCCAAGCCTCGGGGCTGATCCCATAAAGCCAAACGGGGAGAAAAATGCAGACTAGACCGTTAATTAAGGAATCGGCCTGCCTTGATCAATTAAAGCAGCGCTGGCACTGAATGACCTCGACCACAAATTAAAAATACCACAACAAAACAACAACAACAAAATGAATGGTTTTTCTTGAATTTATCTGTGCAAACGCTGCAGTATTATTATGAAAATTATTCTCGTTCATATTGTAACAATTTGTCTGGTCAGAGTTTGGGAAGCTCTTTAAAGTGGTGGAAGGGAAAAACTATTGTTCCCATGCCTGAAGTACATTACAACGGTCTTGTGCTATATATGCAGCAGCTCAACGCGTAAAAGGGTCCGTGTGTCCTTTGCGTATTGATTAACCTTATATTAGTATTTGATTTGCTCTTTTAAAAGGCATGTTGGCGCCATTTTGGTTTTACGGTGATGTAGATTTCCGTATCCGTATGGGGGGGGGCTTTATTCTCTAAGAAAACTTTATCGCAGCACCCTTAAAAGGATGGGTTCGGGACTGATCACTGTTCGATCGTGCTGCTTGTGTTTCCATGGGAAAGACTCCTTCTCACTACCGGTACATTTTTTTTCTCCACTAACGACCTGTCAGGAATTCGGTAGCTGCCAAATGGTTTTGGAACAGGCTCTAATTGGCACAATGGTGAGAAATATGACGCCCATATTTTATGACGCAAAATAGAATGCCCAGTGCGTCATTAGCTATTACAAAGCTACAGGTTAGGCACTAGCATGATAACAGCCGATTTGGAAGTACTTTTAGTGGTGTCGCCTATACAGCGCACCATCCGTATCAAAAGGAAAAGAGCCATGAAAAGGAATTGGGATTTATATGATAGAGACACCGAAAGCCAGATTTTGAAGAACATAATAAAAGTAAGCTACGCCAAGCACGACAACGGCAGCCATCATATGGCATTTATGTAATCCAGAAAGAATATGAATGGCAGTTCCACAACTCTACTTTTCGAAAAAAATGTGAAGTATGTTCAACAACACCTTACAACACACCATCAATGCTATACATATAATCCTGTTCAACCTTTATTCAACTAGAGTTCAATGATCAGGAGGGCAGCCGGACCGGTTGGGAAATGACGTGTATTTTTTATCACGGGCATCAATGACGTCATACTGTGTGGAGTCATTATGCAACCACAAAGGTTAAGAGTCCAATTTTACCTTTAAAACAGTTGTGTTTTTCTAGCTTAAATGTCAACATTTTGAAAGTAGAGGACAAGGACAAATGTGAAGAAAAAGTAAGTACAAAGAGAACATTGAGTGCAATACAAGAACACAGTGTATTGGGATTCATATTACTTTATTCCCATCGAAATGAATGACAGTATCTCAGTTTAGTATCTTAGTTTAATGGATCTTATTCAATCACAGGAAAGGGGTGAGTATTTTTATTGGAGTTTGCAAAAGGTTGAAACGTTTTTCAGAAATTTCTCTGTCGTGTTATTTTCCTTAGCATCCGATGATCTACTTAAGAAACGATTCGTTGAATAAATGACCATTATGACTTTCTGTGGCAGTGGTGTGCAATCAGTCTAATTCACAGACCATTCGTAATACTGTTCCAATTTCAGTAATTGTGATTACAGTTTCAACTTGTCTTTTCCCAAAGAGAACCCGAGAGAAATAGCATTAAACAAACAAACAAACGTTACAAGGTCTATATTTTTAACCGCTAATATTTATGATAGAACATGGGCCAATCACAAGAGAACTTGGCTTCCTGCGGAGCTACGCACTTGTATTTGCATTTACCCCGACCGATCCGAGTCTATCCGTGACTATTATACCACTCTTCAGGCTACGAAGCACAGCGTATTTAGTGTATCTACACACGACCTCATAACATGAAGGAGCTACTCTACTCCTGTGCGCATGTTTTGTGTGCTGATCCCGACCAATTTTCTAGGCATTATAGTAATTAGCTAGTTCATTGTTCAAACACAGGATGAATCGCGTCCGAGGTCATCCGAGACAGCAATACGCACGCGCACAGTTTGCCCAGTAAGCGTGGCCGTGGGCCAGATATGGATGGCCGTATCCGAAACGAGCTTCTAGAGCTACTGCTAGGTCTACTGTTTGCGCGCCTCTGTGTATTTCCAGTAGAGTGAAAACCTAGACCTAGCTCTAGACAACAGATTTAGATTTAGACTACTTACAGAATGAAAAGTCAAAACCGGCATCGTTTGCATTCGCGCCCATTCACTGTGGCCACTCAGGAACACCAACGGAAGCAAAAAACACAAGAAGTATACAGCTAAGATTATTTACATGTATATCTGTACTCCAGCACGTGATTGAGTAGAATGCTAATACAATGAGAATCTAGAGAGCCCTGCTTTACCACATAGAGGTCTTTAGGGACTAAGTCACGCGAGGTAATTTCCCAAGCAAACTGGAGGCAACCAAATAGGCCTACAGTAGATTCCAAAGCTAAAAGAAACCTCACAATGAACCAATTACTTTTTTCCATTTAAAACAGGTTTCAATTCCTTGCTATTATGTGCTCAGGACTATCCATTCTGTTACACATAAAGCCTAGGTCTGCACAGATTTTCCATATTTATCTCATTTCCTTCATGTAGATTCCTCAGAACGACACAGAATTCAAAGTTGGTGCCAGGACATGCACAACACATTGTACGAGAAAACTGCGTTGCGGCTCGCGTTCGTCATGCATGTTTGGCGCGCCGTTTTCCTTCTTGGTGTATCTTTCCCCCAGCACGTGACCCTCCCGGCAAGACTGAGCGTGTACGCCCCGCCGATCTAGTCTTTCTTATGCCGACCCTCACGCGTGTTTTTTTTCTGGAATGACCGTGTATCTTTTTTGAAATATTAAACCGTCTCATAACTCCTGCAACTACAACATGTGACGCAAAAACGCGTTTAGAATTTTACTTATAAAAGAGATAACGACATGTTAAAAGTTCGCTGTAATGGACCCGTTATGCATGAAAAAATACCCTTCCCAAAAAAACCAACAAACAAATAATGACGGACGACAAAGCCCGTGGAAACACTAATTACAATGTAGATTTTTCGAACAGCGGCTTTCATAAGTATGTAACAACGTGTATACAGTTGATCATATCGTATTTACATGCAAAAAAAATTGTACCTTGCGATGAAGGATATAGTAAAAAGTAGTTCAAATAGGAATCTTTAATACAAATTTATATTCTGTTCATTTTTAGATTTTTTGGGTATACACGAGCTAGTTTTAATCTTATTGAGAAATAAGATATAATTCCAAAAAAGCCACGTGACCCAATAGTACTAGCGCATCATTTCCTTCTATTTTTTTATTTTAAGTGATAAGATGTAGCACTTCAACAAAATCAGGCATTTCTAAGTAATTCAACTGCCTATCCTTCAAGAGCATTTTCAGCGATATGATAACATGATCATCCTTTATTTCGATGAACCGGCTCTTCGAATGAGAATTAAATGTAACCCGTGATCTTATCGAAACATACAATTACAATAACATAACATACTGATTTGTAAAACTAGCTAGTATAATTTATATTTCTTTTGGGAAAGTTACACTCCGAAATCAAACACTCGAAACTAAGTTACAACATCTAATCGTAGTCGCAGAAAAACAGTGGTGCAAAGTGTAATGCATTTATTGTATTAATTAAAGTGCAGTGTATATAGGTTAATTCGACCTTTATATCACCCTTTTACAAACATCTCTTTAAAAAAGTTATTTACAGGGATATGTGCATGCCTTTATGGCATGTGTTTGATGTCAAAAGATATCATTATACGCCCAAAGTTGTGCCGTCATGCGTGGCATTGATAAGGTTACCACACCTCATCTGTACCAGTCTGAGCGAGTGGATACAACCAACATACCAGAATACACGTACTCTCTTTTAGAATGCACGTGCTACACGATTTTATAAGCGAAGCCGTTGGGTGTAATCCACCGAGGTCAACAGGTCTGAGACGTCAGTCTTGTCATCGTCCCTGTCGTTGAAGGGACGACTTCTATCGTGAAAATTTGGAATGGATTACCAGGTCTTTGAAAAACTTTTTTCTCGGGACTGTGTCCGTATGGCTTTTGAGAAAATAAATAACTTCCTTTCAGGATGTACACTGAATTATTTTGTCAAGCTAATTTGCCACCCAAAATCTTTTACCATTAATCTAAAAACTGATTACTTGGAATATTCTGGACTACTACCTTTAAATGATTAAAAAATCCAAGATGCTTTATGTTAATATTAAGCTTGAAAATCGCATAAATGCTGCTCAAAAACTGCGCACAAAATCGGGTCTTAGTTGCCCTGTAATGGTGCGTAGAAATATGGGAATGTGAATGCAGAAAATAATTAGCTGTCCTTTTTATTATAAAGGGCAACGCGCAAACGAACGATTTGAAATTTACTGCCATTAGTTAAATTAAAAGGATATCAGACCCCTGTTTATGTGTCCATTTTCCTGGACATCATTCTTGTGACCTTCAAACTTAGTTTACCTTACCTAAACTTTAAACGTCTCGGTCTTCATTCTTATTTTTAAAGTCAAAATCTGAAATATTCCGATCAAACGTTTAAGTTAAACAGTAAGGATTTTTGCAGACAACAATGCTAAGAAATTAAGGTGCCCCTAAAAGATGAAAAATTTGAATTACTCTGTTCCTACTACTGTTGCTCTCCATGTTTGCCGAGGATGCATCATGAAGGAGGTCGAGTTCATCCCCATAACAATCCTAATACAATACTCGTTAGCGCATATCGTAGTCAGGTCCGTATGCGCTGATATATCATTGACTATTTAATATGTAAAGTTTGGTTCAAATCTATTGAGCTTGGTCATGTCATGGCCAATGGCCTCCCTCTCCATTCCCGTTGCTACGAAATACCATTACGTGTATTTGAATGGGATTCGGAAAATGGCCTCATTTACACTTTTTACAACTTACACTTGCTTGATGCTTAAATGCTTCCATGAATCAACCGTAAAATTCCTCCAATCAGGTTTCTACGCAATGTAACTTTCTTCACAATTGGGTAACCTTTTTCTTAAGAACATTAAAGTGCCTGAATTGAAAAAAATTCCCTCTTTTAATCCACCATTAGCTGCCCTTTTGTTCTACACTTGATTATCAGAGATCAGCTGACCGTTATCGGGATGTGATCTTCGTGTTTGTGATTCCATTGTTGTCTGCATGGACATGGAGGTATTTTTGCGCAGTCGCATCCAACGTTTTCGGTCTCCATTCGATCGACTTTGGAGACAGCAGCAAAATGTCATCGCTAAGCATCTCCTGTGGGCCGAGCTGACCACAAACAGTATAATTGGATTTATAAGCGCATTAATCCGAACCAAGACTTCTGAAATCTGATTCAAAACGTTTACTGCAGGATACGGCTGCAGGAAGTCGTCCAAGTAGTGGACACCACCGTTTAGAAAAAATACAACATCTAGAGCGTAATAAAGAGTCCAAGTGGTCACAAATACGACAACGATAATGACGATGGCAATTGCCAGACGTAGCCTTTGGCGGCGCTGTCGCGGTGACACCACAGTACTTTGACCACCTTGCAAGAGGTGGTTGGACTTGAGAAGATTTTTGGCAGTGCAACAGTAGCTGACCGATATTATCACGCTGGGCACCAGCAGAAAGATTACAATACAGGCATACGTGTACTCCTCAGCTGGGTACCTATATCTTTTAAAGAGGCACTTGCCATCGTCCCCCAAAATGGCCAATTGGATGCCCGGGTAGCCTGCAGCAAATGCAGCAGACCAAATAAGAGCTATACCCAACAGTACTGCGCATAATCGACGCCGACCGCTCCGCAGGACACGACAGGCCAGCGGTTTGGAAACGGCTAGATATCGATCAACGCTCAGCGCTGTGAGGGTGAATGTGGACACGCCCAAAAACACCAGTTGGAGGTATCTGTTGAGCTCACAGAGTTCCTCCGATTTAAAGAATTCAAACTTCTCGGATCTCAAGTCAAGCGAGATTGAAATTTCTGCAGGTAAAAACAAGCATATGTACCCCAAATCCACAACTGCCAAGTTCACGATGAGATAATTCGGTACGGTGCGCAAGCTCTTGTGTCGGAGTGTAATAAAAATAAGGCAAATATTCCCAGTAACACCAATAATTAAAAACAAAACATCTCGGGCAACGAGATCCCATTTGGGATCAAGAGAATATTCTGGGGTAAAGCTACTATTATTCATACTTGAGACGACATATGACAGTAATTCTAATTTATAAATTACTTTTACTCTCTTCTTTTGACAAAAATCCAGGCAGATATATACCTAATCCTCCCTCACCGTACGAGTCTGACTAAAGCAGCACCCGGACCGTTCAGTTAGTAATTCTCACTATGCAGTAGCGTGCTCGCTTCGGAATGGCCAGCCTTAGGAGGCAATAGACAGGTCCGTGGACGCCCACGTTTTACCCGGTTCGACGCTTCAAACCTCAGCGACGAGCGGACTTTCTTAGGGTAGAGAGGGGATTCGTTGCTAGGAGCGTAGGTATGTTAGCTGTAGGCACTCAGGGCATCGCAGCTTTCCAATGAGTACCTGACATCTGTGACAGAAACACGCAGGTTGGGAAAGACTTGCGTAACTGTTGCAATAGACTAATCTGAGGAGACGCCAATGTTATTCAAATAAAGTTAGGATAAGTGGAGACCCAAAGTTCTTTTGCTGGGTATACTGGTATGGGCTGGGCCATAATTTTTATTTACTCAACATTGAGTGACTGTAACGTAATTTGTCCAAATGCCAATTCTTGAAGTTGTTGGCATTTAGCACACTTGCTGAGTAAATCTATTGTAAAGATTAGGCAAAGTTATTCATCACAACTTAATCGGTTGATATTTTTCGAGAAGTTGATGGTTTCGATGTTGTATGGTTACAAAATTGAAAATGCTGAAAGACGTTTGAGTGATAGCTACCATGCTAGAATACCAAAACGTGAATCAGTGCTGATGGCTGTGGAAACATGCACATTTATTTCTAAAAATGATAAGGCTAAGACTAACCCCAAGTTGTTGTTGTCGTTTTGAAGTTGTTCTTGTTGTTTTGGAGATACTATTTCAGGTTCATTTCTCAGTATGCATACTACATGGGTACAAGAGATTCGTTAGTTTACTCTGGTACGCACGTGGTACGCATACTGAGAAAACAATCTCATGAGTACTGGAGTACTGGAGTACATATATCTCGAACAAACGAACTTTGGAAAAACATCTCTTGTAAAAACGAGTTGCTCATTGGCCCCAGAGGCAATTAACACGTGCGCGTACCACCCCCATGAGCACGCGTGGTACCACCGCACCGCGTAATGGCTTCTAATTCAGGTGGCTGGATAAATATATATTATATATATAGCTCTATTTATTGTATGGGTCTGCTTTTCTACGCCACAGTGGTGTATTTGGCTTACATTGGCTAGTAGCACTATGATTTGCTGACAGTTGGTGATTTACATGCACAGGTCTAATATTAAAGAATGCAAAGCATTATTTTCTCCCTAACAGCTACTTCACTTGGAGTGTTTAGCTGTTCAAATCGCACAGTATTTTAGGTTGTTAAGCAACGCATCTTTTGTTCAGAAGACATCTCCGTAAGAGAACTGTTTTTCTAGCAAGCCAAACAGAGCTGTGTTAAAGATATGAGTAGATGAGGAGATGGTCGAATTTGTACGGTATGAAATGCACTTGTTTTTGTAATTTTATGCAAAACATTTCTATGAACGTTACAACTTGAATTTAAGGGATTATATTATACAAATATTTCATATACAAACTCAAAGTATTACGCTAACTTCATCACAAACGACCATAAGCCCAACACTTGGCATTTAAAGAAACCAGGAAATGAATTTTTCTTAGAATCACTTTTTGTGTATCTCTGCACTCTTCTTCCATATATGAAAACTGTTTGACATCTTTTTTGAGTTACGTGAACTGAACGGTGCACTTTTTCTAACATTAAAAATTGACCTGGAGTTTCTGTACAAGTGAGGGCGCTTTTGCCTTGATGTAAACCCAGGAAGACGTGGTTCAAGTTGCATGTTTTCATGTTCAAATTTGCTATCTGGGAACATTTCTGTGCAAAAGATTTTTGCTGGATCGTTTTTGTATGCAATAAATTGCCCAAAAAAATAAAATCTGCCATAGCAGTGATTAAAAAAATCTAGAAATCTTCTTTGCACAAATCAGAGCAACATTGAGATTCAGTGCCTTGGATAACATCATAGTTCTGCTCATAAATATGCAAATATGCATTAGCATAAAACAAAAAACCCATGAAAATAAAGGTTGCATTCCAAAATCAAAATTTAAAATAACGTTACTTGAAACCCAAACATGCAATTTCAAGGGTTTTTTGTAAAATTTAAAAAAAAATTGTATTTTCCGGTTCCTTTAAGGAAAAAAATTGCCTGGAACCGTTGTTTGATTATAGTCTGGGAAAAAAATCACGCTTGAAACACTAACCCACTTCCAGTGCAGGAGAAGTACTGGATTCCAGAAATGTTCGAGAAATTGATGAGGGCAGCTGGTGTAGGAACATCCAACAGCAGCGCGGCTTTCCTCTGTGGGCGGTAAACTAGGACCTGCAGAAGAAATGTTCACATGGTCAATTCATCAAGATTTCCTGTCCCAAGCGACATTCCAGGACGGTGCGATTGCTTCACTACCTTTTCTAGTATCATGTCATGTCTCAGTGGATCTCTCGATGCCGAAATACGAATTTTTGTGACATCACTGCAAAATAACGGTATGTGAAATTACAAGCAGTTTAGGTCGAAATAAAAGGAAATGTTTGCGACTCCAACCCTCAAACTGAATGAAATATAAATATATTGTGATCTGGTTGACCTGATCTTAAGAAACATTTTTAATGTTAACTTCCCGGGTTGCCGGAAGTGCAACAGTATGTGAATGTAACTTAAAACGGGAAGGATTTTTTTACATTTACTATAACCAGTGGCGTAATTGACCGGGGGGCAAGGGGGCATGCCCCCCCCAGCGCATTTGAAATCTCTGAATCTCCGTTGATATGCAGCTACAGCTTATTTTCTTGTGGTGCTCCCTTGAAAAAAAAATGAGTGCACCCCCATGTGCCCCCTGATATTTATTTAATTATTAACCACATCCAACAGCATAAAGACGCCAGTCACAGGAATGGGGATAATTTTAGATAAATAGAATTGATATATACATATATGTACAGAATACTAATTGATGAAAGTAAGAGACAAATTAGAATAATAAACCAAAAACATGTAACCAGACAGTCTAAACAACAGACATACATGTAGGTAATGGCCAAATAACCTGGCAAAGAAAGTACATGAGGGCAATATATTGTTGGAAAGAGCTGTCACCTGTGCAGAGAAGAAGAACCCCCCAACAGTAAAGGATAAACATCCGGGTTGAATTGAGATGTCTATAAAAATTGAAACTTCAGTCTACACTTTACTTTCTGGTAACAGAGAGACCCTAGGGCACTGGCTTAGGAAAGGAATGAAGGGCAGGTGCACCGAACACATTACATTTTCTATGGAGCCCACTGTATAGGAGGAAATCCGTGAGACAAATCCATACTCTACCTTAATGCACAATCCGTGAAACATGGAGGATGTGTCAAGCTGCATGCTTTATCCGCAGGGAAAATATATTATGTAAGCTATAGGCCTATGGGTTGGTGTCTGTAGTACTGAACTAATTATCAAAATGTTTATATAAAAATAAGCAATCGTTAATATTTAAATTTGTTTGTTATCTCCATGAGATCTAGGGGACGAGAACAGTTGAGTCGGAACAAACTTTTTTAAAAATTAGTTTCATAATAAATTCATCATCTCAGAAGTTTCGTGAGGATATTATCGAGACGATCAGATGCCTTCCAACCATGAATCCATTATTTAGTACTTAAAAGAGATGTTATCTTGCGCAAATAAAGATACCAGCTAGATAACTCAATTGACAGCAATTAAAAACCTATGATGTCATCAAACCTCGTGTTCGTAGCCGAAACAAACTCGAAGCTGTGGATTTTGCCGCCTTGGTTTTAGTGGTGGCATCATCACCCGTGGTCATTTGGGAGCAAAACAAATTGCTTCTGCGTGGTAATACTGCATTTCCATGGAAACCGTATGATGTCTGTCGTTGTTATATTCCCTTTGCGTTTGTGATGAATTATGGACGAAGTTACTTTACAAAGCTTGATGTCGACACGATGGAAAAAAAGAATTCAACTGATATGAAATATGGACGGAATGAAAGTATATTAGTTTCGCCACTTTGTATAAAGGTATGGGCCTTTTAATGCCGCTGGACCAAACATGCTTTTTGTTCGGGTTTATATAAAATGGACGAAAGAACGCCATGGGCTGTCTAGGGGATATTTCAGATTATAGGTTTTGCAGGTCAAATTTTGCAAATGAGTGGCCAATTTAACTTAAACAGAATGTTTCATAATCACAATCACAGAAACAAAACAGGAGTTCGTCAGTTTACAATATAAGACCTCCAAAAATAAACAAAACAAAACAAAACAAAACAAAACAACGATTAATAGGTCCACAATCTACAAGACACAGACAGGAATAAAAAAAAAGAGTTGACTGACAGAAAATGTCCATTTCAGTTAATTTGTTGCTGTGGTTGTTTTGCTATATTTTTTAACATTTCTTCAATACTTTAATTTGAATTTTCGTTTTGCGAAATTTATGCCTCTTTATGAAATTTAAAATAAGGAAATCAAATCGAAATTGGAATGCCTGAATTCCGAAGTTGAACCACAGCAAAAACTTGAGTGGAACGGCTCGAAAACTAAATTGGCAGCTCTTTTGCCGAAATCTACATCTATATTGGAATTCTCAATGTACAGGGAACACTAGCAACTTAAAAGCGATCATTTCTATACAACCAAATGAAGACTTTATCGTTTATAAATATGAACTTACAGAGTAATTTTTATCTGTACAAAATTATTAACCGTTATTATCATTATGCGCGGCGAGTCAGATGTTACAAAACCCCCAACCCAAATTGATTTGCGGGAGAAACCAAACTGGTGTCAAACTCAACATGGTGAATATTTGGGGTGATTATGAAAATAACACTGCACTTTTCAATATATGCTGACTAGCTTTTCCTTTTAACAATGCAGTTTGCTTGATCAATCATTTATGAAAGCTTATCAAATCAGCTGAAGCGTGAAGCCATGAAGTGCAGCTGCACGATAGTACTTTTCCCCGAAGAGGTCAAATGGAGAAAAAATTCCACGGATTCGAGGGAACAAATGGGCTTCAGATGTTACCTTTTTTAAATAAACGATGTTAGACAATTGTTATACCATTATGCCTTACCTCTTGTACTTCCTCACTAAGTCAAAATTTGCTACGGATTAAAAAGTGACATAGGTAAGAAGTGATTGAAAAGAATGATTGATGTTACCGGAGGCAAACATGGAAAAGGGGCGGACTTCAACACTGTACGACCTCTTTCTCACTTCAATTCATTTGTCACGAAATCGTTATACCACGGCGTGACAGGTTCCCCTCATTCGCCAGCGCCGCCGAAAGCCCACCTCCCCGAGGCCTGGGCTTGGTGTCAAAGTGTCATTCGCCCGACCACCTCGAGGCCCGAGCCGCGGCCGTGCCGTGACTGATGGCAGGGATCTAGCATGCCCGCACAGCCCTCCTGGGAAATCGGCAGGCTCCTGCTCCGCCACAAGCCAGGAAATAGCTTTTTAAATGACACCTAAAGATTCCAAAATTCAATTACAACATGTACGACTCTATTAAAAGGAAAGCAATATGAGGCCTGACCTGTTGTCGCAAATTGGCATCTGCACGTCGTTAGCGTGCTTTTTGAAGAAAATACATATACTACTCGAAAAGCGGGTTGCGGGGCGCATCGTTCCAGAACGGGGACTGCGTAGGTGATCCATGGAGGACGATCTAAACTCCCCCGTGCTCCCCAGAACCTACGCTCCGCTTGCCGTTTTCAATTGGTCACGGACTGATAGCCGTTAATTTCACTTCAGCGCTGAAGTAGTAGCGTCAATGATGTAAAGGCGTCAGGAGTATGCTATGTGTTTTTTCGCGCCCTTTTGGACAACCTTCATGCTTACACAACTGTATCATCCTCGTGTCTGTTTGCTTTGGCACACTTTGAATAAACTCGATTAAAATGTCAGTTTCCTACAAACACGACCGTCATAGGGCGTTAGAAAGGGAGAGAATATTCCATAGAGTAAACCTGTGTAAACCGAATGCAAAGAACTCAAAGCAGGCCCTCAAATGTCTGGTGACGAGTGCTGCAGAGGATCGTTTAAAGAGCCTGTAAATACTCCGCTGTATCGATGTAAGTCTGTTAAAAATGCTACTGCACAAAACTGATATCTGGCAGTTTGAAACCTTTAAACTTTTGGGGAAAGTCTAGCTTTTAGTATTCGGCCCGTTTTGCTTATAAAATTGTCTCCTTTGCTCAAAAGAACGAGACCCGCTGCTTCCTGGAACCCGTTTTGAAACCTCCTCTGAAGAAGTTTCAGGAAAATTTGAAAGAAAAAAAAAAGATTTAGAAAAACTCGGGAAGCGGTTCAAGCCATATTGGGACCTGTATTACCAACCGTTCTGACCGTCCATTCAAGGCCGCACCGTGAATACATTAAAATCAAAGGGTAAATTCAGCGGAGATGTCCATGACGTCACAGGGATAAAAATTAAGCAATTCCTAACCATTTTATTCAATAACGGCTTTCATAGGATTTCACAAGCGCATCGGGTTTCCGACAGATTTGTCGGGTCACTGTGTAAGGAGGGATCTAATTTCTTGCAATAACACTTTCATATGGATATTGTCATCGGGCCAACAACTAATTAAATCTCTGAATGATATTTTCAGGTGGCAAACTTTTAGGCCGGATCACTGACATTTAATATTTTCAGGAAATAGTCCCCAGCCTGCTCAGAGATGCCTCTTTTTCAACTAGTAATTTAAAAATGTGTTGTGCAAACAATCTATAATGTGGGTGACTTTTGTTCCACTGATACTCATAAGTAGACCTACCTACTCAAGGGCGTTTGAGATATAGTGTTTGGTTGTAGACTGTTTTATATCGTTTTGAAACAAGCCTTTGGCTGCAGTTTATATAATAGCTAGCCCAATACAGAGGCTCCTTATCGATCGAACAGCGTCTGATAGCTTAACTATGGTCAACAGGGAATTTTTTCCGTACATAACCTAAGGCCGTATCCTGCCGGCTAAAATGTGCAGGCGTGGCATACATAGTGTGGACCCGGGCGTTGTGTGGACTCACACACGTCCACACAATGTTTTCCCCTCTCTGAAAAACAGTTTCAGAGGCATTTTGGGGTCACTAGGTTATCTGTGACAAAATGAAGAGGGGCAGTCCAGGATCAAAAATCCAGCTGGAAGGAGTTATCCTAGTGGGAGAAAAAGAAGCATTTTCCTCGGGTTTTCTTTAATCGCAGGAGAACACAGGAATGTCCACACTTTGTATGTAAAACAAGTATTGCTGTATACACGTGGGCTATTCGTTCTTTGCACGCTGCCGCCATAGCCATGCAGAGCCTAGACGCGAACTGGCAGCTTGTACAATCGCGTTAGAATTGTTTTGTCCAATCGCATGGTATTTAGAACTAACGCAGCATGCGCAAAATTACATAAGCAATATATGCGGAAATCGCTGAACCGGCTATATTGATTGCATAGAGCTACCAGATCCAGGCTGTGCATGCCTATGGCGGCAGCGTGCAAAGAGCGAACACCGTGCACTGGCGGCAATTTTCCGCGTGCGTCCTACCTCCCTTTACACACAGTATTCGGGCTCACTCAGTAGAAGCATCCTTTATAGGTCAAAAAGAGCCATTTTTGTCGGGAGTGCTCATTTTGTCGGTAGCGATGAACTTCATAGCCATTTGTGAACCAGCGAAGTTCAGTTCCGACCAAACTAGCCTCCGTTGCTAAGAAAACTGCGCCCCCTTTTGATCCAGCTCGAGGCTCATTAAACTTCAAGCCACACTTTCATCAACCACTGGTTGCTACACTACGTAGGAGCGCCATGTCTAAATAAAGAAATCACCCACAGAAATTTTCAACGTGGAATAAGTTATGGTGTAATTTCAAATCTTAGAAGCACAGACCACGCAAAAGTCGTTAACAAAATAACATACAAACAACGTTCGACCTTTTGAGGACAGCGGGCGTTACGTAACACACGTAACCCTTGTCGACCGCGGTTATTTTTTAAAGGTTTAGTATGCCGCTCCTACAAAACGGCGTTAACAGAATAAGGATGGGTGGCACCTTCAAAAAGCTCATATATATTAGAACCCAAATGCACGTGCTCCAAATTATTTTAAATTTAACCACTCAAGCCATGAACCATGCCACTCAAAACCCACAATTTGATTTAGTTATAACTACCGAACTACGCACAAAAAGCCTTTTGTAAATAGGCTGTGCCTCAAAATTGAGACTTCAAGTTAGGAACTTTAAATGTTAGCCACTTCAATCAGTTATGCATTATTTAGCCTGAGTGTTTTCAGTTGTATGTACTGCAAAGAATATAATTTTCAAACGAGAACGATCCTTCAGCTATTTTGCAGAATGATATATTTCATTTGGGCTTCTGTATGTCAGAGTTATAAACCATTTGCGAGTTAAATTTAAATAACATCTGGTAGACTGAGTTCTTTGAATTCACGTGAACATAACTACTTGAATTTTCCATACTAAAACCATTGTTGCTATACCTCGTGATGGGCAAGCATTTGCTTAGTTACAAAACACTGCTCTCAATGTAGAGGAACGGCACAAAGGAACCAGTCCATTCCAGAGATGGTGGTCGCTAGCAAAAGCCTGCCCCGAACCACGAGGTATAGCAACAGTGTCTTTAGCCTGGGGAATTCAAATTGTAACGTTTCTGTGTAATCAGATAACAGAGTGTACCAGATTTTATTCAAATATAACTCGAAAGAGGCTTATTCCGAAATTAGTGGGATAGTCAGAAATTGGTTCTCTACATATTTTGGTTAGATGTCCTTTGAGTTTTTTAAACCCTCTAAAATAGTCAGTGCCCAAGAATATTTCAATCGATGAAAGATTGTATAGTTTCTCTCTACCTGTTACAATGATACAGTTGAGGAAGAACCTTTAATGGTACTTGATATAGCGTGTGTCCTCCCATAATGATGAACTTAATGCTGGCCATTTTGCACACTTGCCACCGGTATTTATAAGTTCCTGTGGGGTTTTAAAGGGGATTTTCTTAACTTGAGATGCAAATTAATTTGTTAAAATCATACTTGTTTTAGGCGATCCAGAGATATATGCCCCAGTATAAAAACAAAGGAAATCGAAATTGAGTATGTGCCACTTTTTAGAGAGTATGATTACTAGACCTTGCTGAAATAACAAAACGTGATGCATTGATTCTACTGTGCAGTTTGATTTCAAAGGGGATGCTAGCAACACTACGCATTTAATTAAAACATGCCTAAGGAGTAACCTTTCTTAACAAAAGATTGGACCTGCTCCAGTGTGAGTGCTTGGAATTACTAAGGGCATACCTCTGGATCATCGAGAGCAAATAAGATGAAACGAAAAACGGCACTAGCAAGCCAAGAATGTCCTCTCTTAAAAACATGCAGACTGTAAATACCGCCAGTTATTTGTTTTAAAGGACAGTGTATGTGCGCACCTTAGACGGTGAGGTACACGGATCTCTTTGACTGACGGTATTTGAACAAGCCTAGGCAAAAAGGACTTCACATTCACTCCTTATTCTCATTAACAGTTTCGTTAGCCTTCATCAACCAATCTTGGGGTGCGCAGAGGGATGCATGCCTCTCTGCTAAACAGGCAAAAAAGTAATTTTAATTTCGATGCTCAATAATGTGAGAAAACATTCTGGAATCATTTAATTTACCGTTTTTCTAATGGTTGCAAATTCCCCAATGTAGCCTAGCTCCCCAGAGAGGGCCATGAAAGTTGTTTCTCACCCAAAGAAAATCTCCAAATCTTTTGGCCCCCAAAATAATTTGCCGCCACCAAATAAACTTGGTTCTGGATGCGCTCTTGCGCCCAATCAAGCACAATTAGTTCAGAGTATATCGCAGGCGCTCATATTCGGTCGTGAAGGGAAACCACCAATCAGTCATTTACCAGCATGTCTCCATAGAAATGAACGGTTCGTTTGCTGCATGATTTCCACGTGGCCTATACCCACAATCCGCGCTTTGAGTACACATGTAATTGCAAGTGTTGCTAATGGACTATGAGTGCATTTTGGCTTTCTTTATTAGTCCTGAAGGAGGCGAATGACGACCAACAGTTCCGACTCGATCACACACAAAGAATAATAACAGTAACAAAACAAAAAACCTCAAAATTATCACCCTTGACTAGCAACTCATACATGGCCCGCCACAGACAATTTTCAACATTCATACGATGTAAGCTAATGAAAAAAAAATATGAGCTTCGAGGTATATCATACCGCCTGGATGAAGAACAATCTACCAGTATGCCTGACAATATGACAAACGGTCGTCTTAAACGACACTTTATATCTAGCGGAAAATTATCCTCCAGCAATGAAAAACTTCTTTTTTAAAGTAAATGTTTCTCTTTCGGAGGTTTGTGACGATAAATCACGTCTTCAACGAAAAGATAAATGAAAACGCTGATTATAATCGAGGGAACTATTTTTAGACGCTTGTGTTTACCGTCATCCGGTTGGCGATAGTTGGCCATAGTTGCTTTGTTGGCGTGAAGCGTTTTGTTGGCATCGATCATACTGTTGGTACCACTGGGACTTCAGGAGTATAGTGTAACATTATCGTTAATTCTTTTAAAGCAAGATAATTTGACACCTTGGGCAAACATACTGTGATGTAAGTGATAACTTACTGATGTAACTGACGACAGCCGAAAGCGTTTGTACCTACACTGTAACGTGAACTCAGGAAGACTACTCAGACGGGTGAATATTGCAGCCGCAGACTGCGGCCGGCGATTAAAGTCGATACCATAGGCCTATCCTA